CGGGCCACACACTCTCTTTCTGAGTAGACCTCTGACCATTACCTTTATTGAGCGACCCGTGACTGCCCACGTGGTATCCGTGAGGTGGGGGTAATCGGCGACCATTCATAGTGAAAATCTGTGATCACAGTGTCACGGTAAGCATGGCGGCGCGCCTTGAGCGCACGAGTGTGCATGATTGATTGGTGCATCGGTGTCAAGTTGATTTGAAATGTATGAAATGCTATTTATGTTTATTTTTGAGTAAAATAGAGGCAAGGTGAGACTCTATTCCTATTGTGTTTTGAGTAGTGTAGAGTACTCACCCTTACATTTATTTTTCAGGTAATCAAGACGATCAGCACCGGGCTTAGTGAAGGGACATATGGACTGCTATAGGACCTAGATTTTATTTTGAAAAGTGTTGTAATTGAACTAGTCCTGTAACAGTTATTTGATATTAATTTGTAACCCTTCCTTTATTTTGAAATATCTTACGAAAACTGGTTATTTGAATTTACGAAATTATTATTTAATTGAAATTAAATTTAAGGTGTTACACAACCTTGATAAGGCCGACAGTATTATCAATAAAATTAAACTTGATAGTAATTCAAAAGTAGATGCGCTTGGTTTTTTTGGAGACATTTGGTGTGTTTGGAATTCTTCTAGGGTTAAGGCCTGTATTTTATCTAAATCTAAGTTTATTATTCATATGAAAATTAGTTGCTATGGTCATCTTGACTGGATTCTCTTGGTTATTTATGTCAGCCCTTAGGAAAGAGTTAGAATAGATTGCTGGAATGAGTTGATGGATTTTAGTCGTACTGTTACTAGCCTTTAGTGTGTTGCTGGTGACTTTAATTCTGTTCTTTATGAAAAGGAAAAAGTTGGTGGGGGTCTTGTCAATACTTATCTTACTAACAAATTTGCTGATTGTCTTAATAAATGTGGGCTTCAAAATTTAGGGTTTAAAGGAACCCCTTTTACTTAGTAGAAAGGTAATCTTAGAGAAAGAATAGATAGGGTTGTGGCTAATGAGGGTTGACATCTTTTATTTCAGAATAATATAGTTATACATATTGTTGTTCCCAAGTCTGATCATGTGGGACTTTGGCTCAAATTGAACTCTAGGGATAAAGGTCATTCTGCTAATAAACCTTTTAAGTTTTTAACTCATTGGGTTTCTCATCCCGACTTTTCTAGCCTTGTTAAAGCCTCTTGGTCCAGGTCTAGTTCTTGGACTGAAAATATTTATAGGTTTACTAGTATCATCTTTGATTGGAACAAGTCCACTTTTAGGAATATTTTCTATAGGAAGAAGAAATTTTTTAGCATAATAGAAGGGATCTCTAGGAAGCTTGCCCTTGGACCTAATCCCTTCCTTTCTAATCTTGTTAAGTCTCTTTGGAAAGAATATAATCAAATCTTGGATTATGAGGAATCTTATTGGTTCCATCATTACAGATCTAAATGGATTAAGTTAGGAGATAGAAATACTAGTTTTTTTTTTTTTTTTCCATATAGCAGCAATTGTCCGCAGAAATAAAAATGTCATAGTTGCACTTAAGGATGATACTGGTAATTAGGAATACAATCCTTCTAAGCTTCAAATTATTGCCCTGAACTATTTTAAGGACATATACCATGATCCTTCCCCCCATGGTTTCCATCTGAAGACCCAGTCTGTTTTCCTCTTCTAAGAGATTCTGACATCTAGAGATTCTCGACTGACCCTTCCATTGAGGAGGTTAAGGCTACTTTTTTTAGCATCGGGAATTTTAAATCCCCTGGCCCTGATGGGATTCATGCTCTATTTTTAAAAAATCAATGGAATACCTTATCTCCTATTATATTTAAATTTGTTATAGATCTATTTTAACACCCTGATAGAATTGCTGCTGTTAATCATACAATAATCACCCTTATTCCCAAAGCAGAGAGCCTTGAGATTATTAAAAATTTTAGGCCAATTTCTCTTTCCAATGTAAGCTATAAAATTGTCACAAAACTCCTTGCTAATAGGCTCAGGGATTCCCTTCCTCATTTAATCTCGGCCAACCAGTCTAGTTTTATTCCTGGGAGACAAGGCATTGAATTAGTCCACTCTTTTCAAAACATTAAACGTGGATCTAACTTTATGATTATTAAACTTGATTTAGAAAAAGCCTATGATAGGCTGAGATGAAATTTTGTCTATGAGACCTTTCTTAATATAGGTCTAAATTCAACTATGGTCAATTTAATTTACCACTGTTTATCCTCTTCTTCCATGTCTATTAATTAGAATAATAATCTCTCCACCCGTTTTGTTTCCTCTAGAGGCATCCGCCAGGGTGATCCTTTATCCCCCTATTTATTTGTTCTTTGCATAGAAAGACTTGCCCATCTCATTAGGGATAAAGTTACTAGTGAAGATTGGGTTCCTTTTTCTTTTGGGTCCCAAGGGCCTAAAATTTCCCATATGCTATTTGCTGATGATTTAATCCTTGTTGCTAAAGCAAATTCTCATCAATATAATCTTATTTCAGAGGTATTATCTGAATTTTGCTCTACTTCTGGTCTCAAAGTTAATAGTGATAAGTCTTCTATTTTTTTTCTCCAAACATATAGATATATCTACTATTAAGGTTATTAGTGATTCTTTAGCTAGCAAACCTGTTAGCCATCTTGGTACTTATTTAGGGGTTCCTATTCTTCACCAGAAACCTAATAGCTCTCATTTGACCTTTATCTTGGATAAGATCAGGAAAAAGTTATCCCTTTGAAAAATGAACTCCCTTTCTCTGGCTGGTAGAGTTACTCTGGCCCAAGCTTGTCTGATGAGTATTCCTACATATATCATGCAATCCCTGGTAATTCCCTCCTCTATCTGCAATAAGATCAATTGTTTTTGTAGGAAGTTCATTTGGGGGTCATTAGGAAAGCAGAAATGCCACCTTATTGGCTGGCAATACATATGTAAACCTAAAAATGAGGGTGGCCTAGGATTCAGAGATCTTAATTTACTTAATAAGGCCTATATCATGAAATTATGCTGGAGGATGGTCTCCTCTCCCTCTGGTTTATGGGCTCAAGTTCTTTATCAAAAATAAAATTTTAGTCCTGGTCTGAATTTTGGTGTTAAGAAAGTTTCTAGCCAGTCCTATTTATGAAAAAATCTAATGAGTATTTGGCCTGAATTTTCCCAAGGTCTAGGCTGGTGTGTTAGGGATAGAATGTCTATTAAATTCTGGACTGATAATTGGATCCCCCATGTTGATAGATTACTTGACCATATGGTTATTCCCAGCACTGAGCTTGAGTTGGAGGCTCCTGTTGCTTTGTTTGCTGCCCAAGGCAGCTGGGATTGGGATAAAATCTACTCCCTCCTTCCTGCCCATATAGGTAAGCACATTTCTACATTAACCCCCCTTCTAAACTTGCAAGGCCTGATTCTGCTTTCTGGAATAGTTCTAATAATGGGTTATTTTCCCTCAAGTCTGCTTATTATATGTTGGATAATGTTAATCTTTATCCTGCTAGTAGTAATGACCTGTTCAAAATTATTTAGAAGTGGAAAGGTCCCCCTAAAATTACTTTTCTTCTTTGGAAATTAGCTCATGGTAGATTATTTACTAATGAGGAAAGGTTTCTTAGAGGTATGGCTGAGTCGTCTTCTTGCCCTAGGTGTGAGGATGGGCCTGAATCTATTATGCATGTATTGCGGGATTATTTTTTTTTTTGCTAAGAAGGTTTGGGATAATTTTATTTTTCCAAATCAGTGGGTCTCTTTTTTCAGCTCGGGAATTGTCAACTGGTTACTGTCTAATCTTTCTAACCCTCACCGCTCTCGCTTCTATAATTGGTCTATCTTGTTTGGTTGTATTATTTGGAATATCTGGAATGCTACAAATATTTTTGTTTTTCAAAATTGCATTTCTCAGCCTAGTAGTGTTGCCCAAAAATTTGTATATGATGCTGATTATTTTTCTTTTAATGGCAGGTCCAGTTCCACATCTTTTTCCAACTTAATTTTTGATTTTGGGATGATTAGATGGACTCCTCCACCTTCTGATCAATTCAAACCAAATGTGGATGGAGCTGTTTCTAATTGTAATAGGGTGGCTGCCTGTGGAGGGTTAATTCAAGATTGTCATGGTAGATTCTATTTTGGGTTTAGTAGAAGCCTGAGTTTTTGCTCTCCTCTCCTTGCTGAGCTTTGGGAATTTATTTTGGTATTCAGATGGTTATTTCTGCCAAAATTCAAGTAATCTGGATTGAGAGTGACTCTAAGGAAGCAATTGCTCTTGTATTGAATGTCCAGCTTCTTTCCCACCCTCTATTTTCATTACTTTGTAATATTAGAAATGCTTTAAAATCTATTAGATTTGTAAGATTTGCTTATATATGTAGAGAATCAAATCAATGTGCAGATTTTTTAGCTAAATTAGGGCTAGATTTCCTAGCTTCTTGTTTCCAGATTATAGATCCCCCTACCCCTCTGTTGCCTTTCTTGTATCTGGACTATAGTGCTCAGGATTGTCCTAGTCATTGTGCTTAGTTAGTTTGTCTTTTGTTTTGGGCTTTTGAACCCCTTTTTCTAACAAAAAAAAAAGATACTTTTAGATACGTGCTAATCCAAAAGAAAAAAAGAAAAGATAAATATGTTTCTTGTAATTGAATTTGTTATGCATGAAAGATTTATTTTTAGTTTTATTATCTTTAGAGTTTAAAGAACTGGTAAGTTATGTCTCCAATAAAACTTGTAAGATGTATAAAAATAATTTTTTCCTTCAAATTAATTCTGAAATTATTACAATCATTAATTTGTAACAACGGCTCTAATAATAAAGGTATTATTAAGAATAATAATTAATACCTTATTATATATATAAAAAAATCTAAAATATTAAATAATTTTAAACAAATAAGAAATGTTTAAAGAAATATCTAATATAAGAAAAAAGAATTACATTGTTACTGCTAGCGTGACTCCTTCAAACATGGAGACATCAGAAGTAGGCAAGTAATCAGAAGGCCTAGTGAGTGGAGTAGAAATCATCATCCTCTTCAGGAAAAAGGTAGTTAATGTAAGGTTGATATCCAGCATCCTTCAAATGAAGAACTAATTTACTGTTTAATTCATATATCTCTCCAATCTGTGGATGAAGCTTATCCTTGGCCACAAACTCATGTCTCCCATTTCTCAACTCAATCCAACTAAAAGCTGCTTCTTTCTTCAAACCTCTCTCCTTCATGACCATTCTAATCCTATTGGCATCACCCCATCTGCCAGATTCAGCATAAATGTTAGACAGCATAACATATCTTGCTGTATTTTCTGGTTCTAACTCAAATAGTGCTTCTGCAGCCCTTTTGGCAATGTCCAAGTTCCCATGAACTCGACAAGCACCCAAGACTGCACCCCATATTGCACTGTGATTCTTATTTTCAATCGGCACTTTTTCAATTAAGCTGATTGCTTCTTTGAGCCTGTTTTTCCTCCCTAACAAATCAATTAATAAAGCATAGTGATCAGCTCTTGGCTTCACTCCATATTGCCTTTCCATCAAATCCACCAATTCTAACCCTTCATTAACCAAACCTGCATGGCTACAAGCTGATAGCACCCCAAGAAAAGTCACATGATTGGGCTTTATATTGGCTTCTATCATTCTTCTAAACACAACTAACGAGTCTTGCCCATGACCATTCTGTGCTAACCCAGTTATTAAAGTATTCCAAGACACCACATCCCTCATTGGAGCCACCTCAAACAAAGTTTCAGCTGATTTCATATCTCCACACTTACCGTACATGTCAATCAAAGCATTCCACACATGCACATTAAACAAGTTGCCATTATTGCTACGTCTAATAATTTGACAATGGACCTGTTTACCTCTTCCTATAAGAGCCTTCTCTGCACAAGCATCTAGAACACTCACAAAAGTTGGAGCATTAGGCCTTACTCCCTCTTCCAACATTTGCTGAAAAATATCCAAAGCTTCACCACAGCACCCATTTCTCACAAAACCCGTGATCAAAGCAGTCCAAGAAACCGTGTTCTTAAACGGCATATCCTCAAATACCCTGCAAGCCTCATCCAATCTACTAGCCCGAGTGTAAGCCACAACCATTGATGTCCAAGACACAACATCTCTCTCTGGCATCCAACAAAACACAGCAAACGACAAATTGGGTTCGCCACATTTCCCATAAGCATCAATCAAAGCGTTGTTGAGAATCACATTCCACTCCATGCCACATATAACTGACACCCCTTGAACCTGACGCAACCATTTAACATTACATAAACAAGCACAGTTCCCAACTATGCTGACTAGCGTGAACCCATCTAACATCAAACCGTTAATACTGTTTTGCATCACCCGAAAGAGGTTAACCGAATCCTTATGAAGCCCGTGGCCCGTTAAACCCGAAATTAACGAGTTATAGCTAACGAGGTTTCGTTGAGGCATTTTATCGAACAATTTATAAGCCTTATCGAAAACGCCCATTTTTGAGTAAAACGAGATTAGCATGTTCCACGAACGAGTGGTCTTGTTGGGAAAATCATCAAAGACCTTGTGTGCACTTTCTGCGCAGCCGCACTTGGAATACGCGCCGATGAGACCGTTAGCGAGGAAAGCGTCGAAGAAGAGTGCGGTTTTGATAAGGTGACAGTGCACAGCATTTCCAAGCGTCACCCTTCTAATCGTTATACACTTTGAAATTAGGGAGAAGCAGTTTTCAATGGAAACGACGTCGTTGGGGAGCATGGTCGTGTTGCGTTCTCTGAATCAAACTCAAAGCGCGAATCAACTAAAAGGGGACAACACGGGTACGAGGTTTCGTTAATGGGACCGACCCCCCCCCCCCCCCCCCCCCCCCTCTTCAAATTAAGGGTTTTTCGATAAGGTTATGTAATGGGTAGAAATGGGTTCGTTCAAAAATTGGTGAGTGACCTTTCTTTACCCGATTCTTCGCCTTTCGCGAAGCTATTGGACTCTTGCGTTCGTTCAAAGTCAGGAATTGACGCGCGTCGTGTTCATGCTCGAATTTTTAAGACTCGGTTTTCCTCTGAAATCTTCATTCAGAACAGGCTCGTTGAAGCTTATGGAAAATGCGGGTCTGTGGAGGACGCACGCAAGGTGTTTGATCATATGCCACAGAGGAACACTTTCAGTTATAACGCGATTTTAAGCGTTTTGACGAAGTCCGGTAACCTTAATGAGGCTCTGAGCGTTTTTAAGTTGATGCCAGAGCCTGACCAGTGCTCGTGGAATGCAATGGTGTCGGGTTTTGCACAGCACGATCGCTTTGAGGAAGCTTTGAAGTTCTTTCTTGACATGCATATTGAGGATTTTGTACTTAATGAGTATTCGTTTGGCAGTGTTCTTAGTGCTTGTGCTGGGTTGACAGATTTGAACACGGGGGTTCAAATTCATGCTTTGATATCGAAGTCTCGCTACTCGTCAGATGTTTACATTGGTTCTGCTCTTGTTGATATGTACTCTAAGTGTGGGGTGGTGGCTTGTGCTCAAAGGGCTTTTGATGGCATGCTTGTGAGGAATATAGTTTCTTGGAACAGTTTGATCACGTGCTATGAGCAAAATGGTCCTGCAGGAAAAGCTCTAGAGGTTTTTGTTGGGATGATGCATAGTGGGATTGAACCTGATGAGATTACTCTGGCCAGTGTGGTCAGTGCTTGCGCGAGCTTATCTGCAATTAGAGAAGGTTTGCAAATTCATGCTCGTGTTATGAAATGGGATAAGTTCCGGAATGACCTTGTTTTGGGCAATGCATTGGTTGATATGTATGCAAAATGCAGTAGAGTAAATGAAGCTCGATTGGTTTTTGATAGGATGCCGTTTAGGGACGTGGTGTCTGAAACTTCCATGGTTAGTGGATATGCTAGGGCAGCAAGTGTCAAAGCAGCGAGGTTGATGTTTTCAAAAATGATGGAGAGGAATGTGGTATCCTGGAATGCGCTTATTGCGGGTTACACACAGAATGGAGAGAATGAAGAGGCAGTTAGACTTTTCCTCCTCCTAAAGAGGGAATCTGTCTGGCCAACCCATTACACCTTTGGGAATCTACTTAATGCATGTGCAAATCTCTCTGATCTGAAGCTTGGTAGACAGGCTCATACTCACATTTTGAAGCACGGGTTTTGGTTCCAGTCTGGAGAAGACTCTGATATTTTTGTGGGGAATTCTCTCATTGACATGTACATGAAATGTGGATTGGTTGAAGATGGATGCCTGGTTTTTGAGCACATGGTAGAAAGGGATATTGTTTCATGGAATGCCATGATAGTGGGATATGCCCAAAATGGTTATGGTACCGAGGCCCTTGAAATTTTCATGAAAATGCTGGTATCTGGAGAAAAACCAGATCACGTAACTATGATAGGAGTTCTATCTGCATGTAGCCATGCAGGACTTGTAGAAGAAGGCCGTCATTACTTCCAAGCTATGAGGACTGAGCATGGCTTAGAACCAATGAAGGACCATTATACATGCATGGTTGATTTACTGGGTCGGTCTGGTTGCCTTGATGAAGCAAACAGTTTGATAAAGACAATGCCAATGCAGCCTGATGCTGTTGTCTGGGGATCTTTACTTGGTGCTTGTAAGGTTCATGGAAACATTATATTAGGAAAGTATGTGGCGGAAAAGCTCATGCAGATTGATCCCTCGAATTCTGGACCGTATGTTCTTCTTTCAAATATGTATGCAGAGCTTGGTAGATGGAAAGATGTGGTGAGAGTCCGGAAACAGATGCGGCAACAGGGAGTAGTTAAGCAACCAGGTTGCAGTTGGATTGAGATTCAGAGTCGTGTGCATGTTTTCATGGTGAAAGATAAAAAGCACCCTCATAAGAAGGACATCTATTTAGTTCTGAAAATTCTCACAGAACAGATGAAACGTGCCGGCTACGTTCCAGAAGTTGATGATGATGAGATTTGTGAGGAGGAAATTGACTTTGAGCTCATCTTACCTTGCGAAATGGAAATGGAGGACGATGCTGCAGTCGGATAAAATAAAATTCTTTTGGCTATTAGCTTTGGCACCCTTCACTACAAAGATATTTCGAAGGCTAGAAATTTGAGATGAGGGTTCCTCCAAAATATTTCTAGGGGATCTAAGTTAAATGGATCAGCTTGTAAGCTGTAGCAGCTGAGCCTTGAACGTACCCCTGGCTTCATTGCAATTTGCAACAGAAGTAAATACTTTCAACCAGCCAACTTTGTTGCAGTTTAAAACATTGATTTTAATTATATGCTTAGTTTGATTGCCAGAAAGATGAGCTCAAAAAGGTTGAGTGCCACATTTACCAAATGGACGCGTCCTGTAAATCAGATGGCGACTTGGCTGCTGTTAGCATTCACGGACGTAAAAACTACAATAAAAAGGAATAGCAGGACTATGTGAGTAGAGAATATTCACTTCTCAGATTGTTTCTCAGTTGCTTCGTTACGGTATTAATCTTTAGTTACATACCATCCCCTGCAGGATGGGAGATATATGCTATATAATACTGATGCCCGGGTTATAGTGTTGTAATTGAAATTAAACTTTCTGAGCAAGCCTGGTGAAAAGTTCATATATTTAAGTTACTGCATAACCCAATCTTCACTATAGGAGATATAAGCTGTGTAACACTCAAGCCTTCCAAGTTCCAATGCTCGGGTGTGTCGTGACTACCAAAATACTTCATAATATGATAAAAAAAATCGACTTATCTGAAAAACAATCATCACCCAGCTGAAAACTCGAGCAACATATTTCTTTCATTATTTTTGGGAACAAAACTGGTGAACCAGGGTGTTATTGTTAGACAACAAGCACGTATTGAAAATTATGAGGGAAGAGGAGAGAGCCATGGTGTGAAACATCTTTTTCTATACATTTTTTAGCTGATAAAATTTTATATATTCTTTCTCTGCTATCCGCAGAAAAATCCAAGATATGTGAACCCTCGTAAGAGAGAGCGAGTCGTCATACTTTTCAGAGCATGACTCCGTGTGAGCATCTGTACCGAAGATTTTCATAAGAAATGAACGTGTAAACCAAGGAAGCACACGATCACCCCAACATTCTTCCATCAACTACTCTCCCCTCCATTCCCTTCTTTATGTACATCCTCTCTTCTAGCCGCACATGCCCCAAAAATGTACTTCAGCACTTTTTTGAGGTGGAAACTCATTTATTAGGAACCCTTTGAAGGGATACTCAAGAGATATAAAATGCATGAAAATCCAGTATTTTGGATTTTCAAAACTGGATTTTCATGCTTTGAAATCACGTAGTAAGAGAATAAGAAAAATGAACCCATGGCACCAGTGATCACTGAATTCCCAACAATAAATAGGCACTACAGCAATGAAACATACCACAACCAAGTTTGCGGTATACAGAATTATCCAAATTAGCATAAAAAAGTGCAAAAACGCCATGAAGTTCCGTTGCGATGAATAAGCCAGTATAAAGGCACTTGAATAAAAAAATGGCAAGTAAACTAGGCCATTAGCAACAGCATAGGGCGAAACTCTGTAGATTCCACTAGAGGTCTCCCACATTAGAATCTTCCTCTTTCGCAGAAAAATTGGTAGAGCTTCAGAGATTATTTTTTGTAAAAATCAGCTTCTACTGTCATTTATTACATAAAAGTTAAGATCTACATGTACTAGCTCTTGAAGGGAACTAATCTCTATGTGCAATTTTTTGAATAAAAGAAAAGATGCGTAGCTGCTTACAAGTAGCAAGTGAGTGAGCAAAATTATATGGAAAAAGGTGACGATGTCCTTGTTAAAGGGAATAATCGTTGTACTTAAACATTCATGGACGACTTAACCTAAATACTGAAAGGTGGAGTAACGGTTGATTCGTTGAACAGGAGACCTAACACTTTCTCTTACTTTACTTAGTTGTGATTTAAGTATAGAATATTTAATTTGTGCATTTTGTGAAATTGATTAGAGAAGAGTTTTCTTCTATTTGTGTGAAAAAGAAAAAGCCTAAAGGGTTAATGACGTAATTGTGGAAAAAACCAAAAGTACTCACCAGAAGGATTTCGTCGTTACATGTGAGGACACAAGGAATTAACTGGAAATTAAAGAAGTAATGGTCCCTTTGGTCCTCAAGTTTGTGGCTGAAATTTCGTGATGCTAAAAAGTTAATAAATGTTGAATATTTTACATGTATTTTAAAAGTTTTAATGAGAATTAATTTTACTTGATTAATTTATTTAAAATTTTTAAGAGATAAAATTTTGACTTCTAACATATTTTCGTGAGATATTTTAACTTAATTGATTGGAAGTTTTATTAGCTCAAAATCTTATTCATTATATCTCCCACTGTTACCTCTTTTATCACTACTTATCTATCTATCTTTTTATTTATCTACCTATCTATCTCTCTGCGCATATTCATTTTTTTTCTTCTTTATTTTCTTCTTTTTTCTTCTCCTTTTCATTTGTGATTGATTGGGCTAACAACATTGTATTTCTGACCGTTCATTAAATTAGATTTATTCTAGAAAAGCCTGTTAAGTCTTAGGGATGTTTCATTACTAAAACTATTATGTGTGGCAAATAATCCTTGAAGGCAGTGAAATCACATGCTTCATGCTATAAATTTTGTTCCTATATTTTGTAATTTTTACTACAACCAAATCATCCCAAGCTTTGTAATTGGACATGAGCATCAACTTGTTTCTGTGTCCTATAAGTCTAAGGATGATTTGAATATAATTATATCTTTATGAAAAATTCTCATAAAACGATTAGCTTATCCCTCTTATTACCAAAACTAAAAAGTTATTTCTAGCTCGAAATGCTTCAAAACCAAGGGAGCCTTTCATCTCTTTGCTACTTGACCAAGTCATTAAGTTTGCAGCTCCTGAAAAGTTAAGAGTTGCTTAAACTTAATGATATCTTCTTTGTAAGATAAACAATCTTTGTGATTTCACTAAGGAATTGAGTGAAGGCCTTTCTCAGGAAAATATAATGATAAGATGAGTTTAATGGTGCAACATTATCAGCTAGATTGACTTAAAAATAGACACCAGAATATTATTTCCAACAAAATTTTGTCGAGCATGGCCAATGAATTTTTTTCTAAAGAAAAATTACTTAATTAAGTGGGGCTACTAAACCCCCACTTCAAAGTGTAAATTACATAATTTATCAATAAATATTTATAAATAAAGAGGAAAATAATTTTATATAAATTAAAAATAATTTATATATTTTAATTTTTTTAAAAATTATTTAACGACTTCATAAATTATACATAAAAATTAATATATTTTATCTTTTTATTTTTCTTTTATTTAAATACTTACGGATAAATTTCTTTAAAGTGAACCTAATTCATTAGACTTATGCGGATTATGAAGAGAGAAAAAAATATTATCTTAAATACATTTTTTCTTTAAAGAAATCACTTGTCCGTGAACATTTCTTTTCACCTTTCAATAACTCGAAATCCCACCCCTCTTCCACTCACCACTAAGTTTTAGTTAATTTCAATAATAATAATACAAAATGAGTCAAAGTCCAATCCATTCCTAACCACTTTAAAATATTGGAACTTAACGAGCTTTTCTTTGATTAGACAAGAAAAGTTATTCACTAACAAGTTTACGGTCCAAATCAATCCTTTAATTTTTCAATTTTCTTTTCCTTTTTAGTTTAATTTTAATAAAAAAATTATATTATTAATTAATTAAAATACAATTAAATGATGATATAAAATAAATTTTTACATTGCGAACATATTTTAATTATTATTTTGTCTCTCTCTTCCTTCAAACAAGTATGAATTGGCTTATAATTGTCTTAAACCTGTACCTGAATGAGAAGACACTAATTATGGCCAGTTCTTTTGTCTTTTGCAGAAACAGTTATTCCTTCTATCCTTGTACATTGTTAATTGTGTCACTGTATACTACCCTTTGATTTACCTTCGAAAGAGGACCCTACTTGCGGAGAACGAGCATTCATTCATGCATGTTATTAAGGTGTTAGAAAATGAGATTGTACACATAAAAGTTAATTGACGTATGTGTATAGCATAATAATTCAAAGGAATTATTAGATTTAAGGGAGTTTTGCTGGTCTTTTTTTGTTCATTTGCATTGTGATTCAGATTACTGTTATTATTTCTCGCTCTAATCTCCTTCAACAAACTATGTTCTGTCTGAACAATTTGCGTGTCAATTGTGTATTGGGACCGATCACTGGTTTTGGTGATTCTGATATGTTGAGGCGCCACTGAACTTTTCATATTGAATAAAAGCAAATAAGCAAATAAGCAAAGCAACCCGTGAGGTGCTGTGTAGGACGAGATCTAGCTGGAGCGTCACACGTTTCTCCTTCTCCTTAATCCACGACTCTCTTCATGTACCTCCTGCTTTATTATCCAAAATTGAAATACAAAGAAATTAAATAATTATTAAAATAAGAAAGGTGTAAATTCATAAAAATTTTGATATATTGGTTGAAGGAATAAAAATTAAAATTATTAAATGGTGCAGAAAAGTAAAATAAATGATATAAAAAATATTTTTATCATAATTCGAAAACTTACGTTTAAAAATTTATGCTTTTTATTCTACATTTTTAACATAAAATTATTTATTATTTGACCTATTATTTTTCAGTTATAAAATAATTAAATTTTTTTTAAACAGATAAATTAAAAAATGGAAAAAAAAATTGCAGCTCTTAAAAGCACACGAGTGTTTTAACATAAGACCCATTCAAATAAAAGCATTTATGCTTCGTGTATCGCTGTAGGCAAAGGAGAAATATCCAAAAGTGATTCAATTTCATGCCTTACATTTCGGTATCAGTTGTGGGATATTTTTATTTTAAATACGTGTCGTAAGATATATGATAAAAAAAATTATACACAATACATTTTTATTAAAATCAATAATAAAATAAATTATTTTGACTCATATCAGGCTAGTTTGATTTAGATTATTTTGGATTAGCTAAAAAAAATACTTTCAATTTAAGCTGTTTAAATTTAGCTCGAACTTATATTACATATAAATAAAGCGAGTAAATCTAAACTTGACTAAAAAAAAATTAAGACTTAGTTTAGACTTAAAATTTAAATCAATTCTTATAATTTAGCTAACTTAAATGAATTGACTTATTTTATTATCTCTACATTTACTATTACTTATTATAATTTTTATAAAAATATTATTTATTAGATTTTATAGTATATCTTTAAACATTCATTAAAAAATAAAAATATAACAATATTTTGAAAATATATTTATGTGATGTGTCCCATGATAATAACATCAATGTTATTTTAAAAAATTAGTAGAAAAAACTACCATCATTAATATTAAACCCGTTGAACTATCCAGTTATATCATACTTAGATTATATTTAGATGGTTTTTTAGAGAATTTTTAATATAAAAAAATTAGAATAAATAATGAATAAAATTTCTTTTATAAGTTAAAAATAACTTATCTCTTTAAATTTTAAAAAATTTAAATGAAAGATTTTTTAAGAACTTCTCAAAAAATATAAGTTACATATTTCTTATAAAAAAGTTTTATTATTTTTTATATTAACTTTTCTCTTAAAAAGACCTTTTTAAAAGTTTACCGACACACGACCTTAGTAGGATTCATGTTTTCAACAAAGCCTTGGGTTTTATAATTGATGCAATTTAGATTAACCGAGTGATTTAAAATTATTTGATTCTGGAAGGCGTTTCTAGTCATGCACTTTACGTTGTTCCCTTTGTTTGGACGAATGTACCATTACCAAATACCAATATTATCATCACTACTTAGATTGCTAGACTAGCTGGTGATAGATGAATTTCGGAGATTATGAGATTCCCTCAATAAATCTTTCCATAAGGATAAAAAAAGTTGAAGAAGAAAAATTGTAATTCTTTTTAATTATACGTATAATGCTGGTAATATAATAAGATTATTGCTGCTCTCAACATTCAAGATTGAATAGTAAGTGATTATCGGGGCTTTAATATACTCCCTTTTATTTTGGCTAGAAACACCAGCAAAGATATATATGTCCTAAGCAGCAGCACTATGCGTTCCTTTGTTCTTCATATATAAACATCAAAATGAAAGCTATCAGAAGAACCGATATATATTTTATATATTTTTTTAGATTTTCTGCATATATGACATCTCATAAAATGCTCCCAAATGTGAAAAAGGACAACTAAAGGTTGTCCCTAAAAGTTATGCACAAAATAATTTTCATATCCGCAAGGACGGGTTGATAGGATGGTGAGAAAGCAGACCATTCAAGGCACACTTTGGTGAGTTGGTAATAGTAAAATCACTAAAATGACAACGTGAACTTAAATCTTTGTTGTGTGGAAGAAAAAGCACATATCTAACATGTCAAAAATTGACACAACAGTAGAAGGTTACTGTATACGTGTTTTTGCCCCCCCGTTGAAAAGGTTCTTTCGCACTATCAAACAAAGCTCCACTATTCCCTACTACTTTATATGGTTTTTCTTTCCTTGCTATGCATGGCTTTGAAGGGCCACAGGGATAGAGATAAGGTTTAAGTGCCAATGCCGCAATGATAAAAAGCTAACACAACACACAGTTAAAACACTTGTCTTTGGATCAATTTAGTGCCGGCTAAAAAGTGACCTGCCAACTACCACAAGAGAGCACATAAACTTTATCTTTTTAGTGAAGCGTTAATGATGGCTTATGAAGCAGATATTAATCCACAAAGTTTGTCGACTATTATTGGTTTGTTGTTTACGTAATACAACCAAGTTCCCACTAAGACTCATTAATTTTTCTCATATTTGTCCGATTGAGTACTGGAATAACTTTCTTATATAATTATTATTATTGCCATTACTTAAATAAGACAGTTTTGTAAGAGATGATCGAAGGGGGTCGAAGAATTGGAGTAATGATCACAAATACTAGTTTGCAGCTGGCACGTTAGCGTAAACCATGAAATGCTTCTTTCTAGTCATAATTAACTTAAGGAAAATAACAAAATTTGAAAAGAAAGATACTTTTTTTCCTAAATCATATAAAATTTTTTAATAAAAATAAATTGATAGTGTAAACATGTTTTGTAATAATTTTTTAAAAAAAGTAAACATAATAAAAATTACTTTTTAAAAAATCACTTTAAAAGAATAAAGTTATAAAATCAACCTCTTATTAACTGTTTTATTGGTTATCTTAAGAAACACCCGAGTCCCGGCCTACTAATTTGAAGAAATACAGAAGAACAATTAATGGCTTGGATTCATTTTGTTGACCATCGATATATATATATCCTCGTGTAGTTTGCATTTAGAACCTCAACTGATTACCATATCGAACACTTCTAACACTGCAAATGATTAAAATCAGAAATGGATTTGCCTTTGGAATTAATGATTTAATCTTTAGGGTGTCAATTGTATGTCATCAATGAACAGCATCTCTAAGTTTTATCGGTGATGAAGCTAACTAAAATGAAAGGTACGTGTGAACATATGGCGCGACGATGAACAACGGCGCTCTCAATTTGACGCGTATTACTCAAATGGATCTTTTCTCATGTCAGTGGCCCATCGTTCAGATTTATCCACACACTTGTGCAATTATGTTGACCACATCTGAGATCAGATGTCACTGACAATGATATCATTATAATGCCCATTTTTTTTAATTATTGCTGTATTTATATAATCAAAATTATAAATATTTTTAAATACTAATTTTTTTTAATGAAAACTATTCTACGTGGGTTTTCGTACATATGAATTGGATTTGTGTAAATAATTTAATATTTATTTAATATATGAATTTATGTTAAACATTTAATTATACAATTTGTTAAAAAATTAGAATATAATTTTAATAAATTTTATTCAAATAGATAAAAATATTTATAAAAGCAAAATTATTTTTACAAATTTTAAAAAAATATATTATTGAATACTCTCTTAAACATTTTTTAATTAAAGTTTTGTCTAACAAAAAAGTTTGAATTTGAATCTCTATAATTATTTTAAAAATTTGAATATAATTGCAAGTCTAGTTATTATAATACTTTACCAGTTTCATACTTGTAGTTATATATAATAATAATAAATTTAATTAATACATAATTATATATTTTAAATATTAAGTAATTCATTTTTATTAAATACTTTTTATATTAAATTTTAAAATTAATTCTAACATATGGATAATGGAGATATGTGTGTGTATTAGTACTTATAAGATATGAATTAATAATAAAATTATTATCCTAACAAAGTAAATATGAGTATGGCTTTGGTTTATTAAATGCGGCAAGAATGTTGGGATACTTTAGTATTTTACTCAGGCCCTCCCTCGTTCTTAGTTTTCCATACAAATATGCAGGTAAAAAATAGACAGAAACTTTGCGAAACTCAAACTAATCGGTGACATTTTTAACTTGGAATTTTATGTCTCCCTCTTCATATATATTATAATAAGAGTAAAAATTTACTTATTTTTAAGTGGTAGATAAATTTATATTTAGTTTATCTAATTCAAACAAAATCTTGAATTTTCAACCAAAATTAACCTGTATTTTTAAGAAAATGAAGAAAATTCTCCCCTTTAAATATTATTAATAGTTAGTTTATCCAAAGAATATCGATGCGGAATATGACACCGTGTCCCTTATGTGAATTTGCATGCAAATGCAATAATTAAACGGGTGGGAAACTGTCATAATCATCATCATCATTAAGGGTCATGGATTATGCCAGTTAGGTTAAGAAAAGAATTGATAATTAAACAAACGTGGAAAAATTTAATGCACCATGCATATAATTAAAGGTGGGTCTCAGGTGCCTTAATGCTTATCCTTCCTAATTAAACTGATTACTATATATATTGAATAAATTTAATGTTAACTTACGTTTTCAATGTAGTAGCTAACTTGCTTTGTTAGTTTCCTTGGCCGGCTTTTCCCTTCTCGGACCTACTTTCTTATGATGGTATTCCACGTACCGCCGTCTTTCTTACAGCAACTCAACCCCTTTTTTGAATAACAATCCACCAAAATCTCTCTCTCTTTCCCGTTATATATAGTGACAAAACTAACTTGTAGTGGCTAAGTCCACTACCAAATTCAACATTATAGAATATGGCAGATGGAAGCGCCAACCTTCCTCCTGGCTTCTTTTTCTCTCCAACTGATGAAGAACTTGTCCTTCACTTTCTCTATTGTAAGGCTTCTCTTATACCTTGCCATCCCAACATCATCCCTGATCTTGATCTCTCTCAGCTTCACCCTTGGGAATTAAATGGTATGCTTAGTGTGTTAGTTTCGTCACTCAATTATTATTAATGTTCTTTTTTTTTTCTTATCAAGGTCAATCTCTAGAATTTATTTTAAAAAGTGTTTAATAACATTGTACGTAATATGAAATTAATGAATAATAAGTTTTAATTAAAAATTGTAATATTTTTTAGTGTTAATATGCTGACACATAACAAATGCATGCATGTATGTGTTGAATATTATACAGGTAAGGCGTTGTCAAGTGGAAATCAATACTATTTCTTCGCCAAAGTGAAGGAAAACAGAACTGCAGAAAATGGGTATTGGAAGGAAATAGGTGTGACAGAACCTATATTGTCAACCGTTAAGAAGAAAGTGGGGATGAAGAAGTACTTGGCATTCCACATTGGCGAAGCTCCACTTGGTACTGAAACCAATTGGTTAATGCAAGAATATCATATTTGTTCTTCTGGGATTGACACTGCGTCATATCGAAGTGGCACTAGAAGACGAAAACATGTTAGTGATTTTATTTAATTAATATGTGAGCCAATAATTAAATTTACTGGCAGAGATTTATGAGCCTTGTTTTAATTGATTTAATTTCTCTCTGACAGGATCAAAGTTGGAGCAAGTGGGTTTTATGCAGAGTGTATGAAAAGAATAAGTCTCAACAAGGTGTAAACTACTGCTATAGTGATGACGACGACAGTGGAACAGAGCTTTCATGGCTAGACGAAGTTTATCTGACGTTGGATGATGATTTGGAAGAAATAAGCATGCCTAATTAGATTGTATGTATTCTAATGTTAGATATATAAGTTGTGCACTGATTACAATGTCTCAGTTACGTGCATCATTTGGAATGAACGCGTTAGATTAGGACCTCTTCTACATGTAGATTAGTGATGGCAAAAATTAATGCCAGCACAAATGGGACAAATCTTGAATATCTCTCTAGGATCCAAATTGAGTCGAGTTAGCAAAATGAAACGGGCATTAAATGGATCAAAAACTACTTTAGGATATACATGTAAGGGAAAAAATTTATAATAACATAAATGTTTACTTATATAATTTATCCACAGGTATTCTTGTAAATGTGTATAATGTACTTCTTTTTTAAAAAAGTTTATAGCTGGTATATTATTAGTGTAAAATTTTTTATACTATCAACTAATTAAAATACATCATGAATATAATTTTTATATTATTTATTATAGGAATTAATTAGTATTGTTAATATGATAATTCATAACAATGTAATCTTACACCGTTAGTGTATTAAAATTGATTTTTATTTGTAATATCATTATTAAGACTTTTTTAAATATTTAGTTCTTTTGAAAGTTGTGCATTTTAGATTTAATTTCTCAAAATTTTTTTGAATGTAGTCTCTACTTTCCAAATCTATTAAAAATTGATCTCTATTATTAGCTGAGTTTTATTAAGTGATAAATTAAATAATAGAAATTCATTTCATCAATGCTACATCATCTTTACTTAATAATTATTTTTTATTTAAATTATTTAAAGGTCAATATTGCAAAAAAAACCTAAAAAATATATTTATGTTATTTTAAAATTTTATAATTAATCTAAATACTTTTAATTTTTATTCAACATTTCTTTTTTTTGCCACTACTTCTATTGCTACCATCATTGTTCTGACGAGTTGAGCAATAAACGGAATAAAGACCTATAGTGACAAATTTGACTCGTGGTGATAGTTAGTTATGTATCTTATGATTTGTGGTTGGATTTGTATAGGTGTAATAGTAGGTGTTAGCATTTTCGATGATGGAGAACTAGAATGTGTTAGTTTTTTGGCAATGTTGAGCGATGATTTTTGGTTATTGGCTATTAGTATAGGTCATGATGATTTGAGTAATTGTTTTGAAGGATGGCTTATGACAATCCAAATGTAGTGATTTGTGGTGATTTTTAGAGAAGTTTGGACATGGCAGGTTCAATATTGGGTGTTCACCATGGTGGAGAGGAATGATAAAAACAAAGATTATAGTCAAAGATACCTTGGTTTTCTCTATGTTTGGTTCTTCTTAAATGGCTAGTGTGCATTGCTTTATGTTTTCCCCACTCTCACCTCACATCTACCTTGGAAGAGGTTGAAGATGCCATAATTGCGAACAAGAGAAAAAAAGAGGTTTGATAGACGAAAACGAGACAAAAAAAGAAATATACAAAGATTGAAAATAAAAAATGACTACAAATCCAAAATTGTTAAGACGAGATGAGTTAGACAAGATGAACAATGACTTAAAAAAGAAGGCACTAAACACATTGCCATGTGTGATGCAAATAACTCTAATAAAAATGATCAAATTCGAAGAAGGATGATTATAGGTGACGTGTGAACACACGTCGTAGCGCCAATAGAGATACAATGAATAAGGTTGTGTGGCACATGACAAGATAAAATAAATCCACTAGTTGCAAGTCGAAAAACTCAAAAAAAAAAAAATGATAACGATAACAATAGTGACAATTAAAAAAGGAGGGAGGTTAGAAAAAAAAAAAGAATAAAAATATTTAGATTAATTAATAATTTTTTAAAATAACATAAATATTTTTAGTAAAATTTTGATAATATTAAATAATAAATAATAAAATTTTTAAAATAATTATCAAGTATATATAACGTGAAAATGCTCGTTTTATTATTTAACTTATCATTTAACATATTTCAATTCGTGATAGTTGAAGACAATTTTTAATAGCTTTAAAAAGTTAAAGATTATATCTTAATAAAATTTATTTTAAAAATTAAATTTAAAAAGTATAACTTTTGAACCAATTAAACTACTTAATTAAGTTCATTATTAATATACTACTATGTATTTTTTTTATCTTAATATATAATTGGCTTGATTAACATTAGGTAATGCGAGAAAATTTTTTCTTTCCCAAACTAAGATAAGTTTTGTAATTTAAATTTTGTATACAACAAAAATAGTTTTATTATTAACAAAAATGATAATAATAAGTTTTGTTATTTTAATTAACATTGTTAGAATTGTTACTATGTTTAGTTTAATTAGTACCTTATCTCATAATTAAAAATAAGGTAACACGATAGTTTCTTTTCGGGTTATATATATATACATACATATATATATATATATATATATATATATATATATATAATAGTTTTATTGTTAATAAAAAAATATTATCGTAATTAGCATTGCTGGAATTTATATACAATATTTAAAAATTAAATTATAGTGTACCATTACAATTTCTTAAATATAATACTTATATTTTGATAAATTTATGAACATATTTGTCGTGCACACTCAAATTTTTACTATTTAATACATAATTTTAAAATTTATGTTTTTTAATAAGTTTACTTTTATGTGTTACAATTTTTAAAACTTAATTTATATATGTATATATATTTTTATATTTATAAATAATTCATTCATTTTTAGTGTTACAAAAATTTATCACTCAATCATAAAAATTGTATCTATAAAATATCATACATATATTTATTAATTCATTTTAAAAAATTATTATTTCACTGATACTCTACTAATTATAATTTAATATAGCTTCAAATAATGCAGAATAGGATATGATAAAATGACTGAAATTCACTAACCGATACCTCTAATAACTTTAATAATATTTTTTTTTACGAATTTAATCATTTGATTGGATTTATAGTTCTCAAAAAGTAATTTCATTATGCAAATCCTTACACAATTTTTAATTTATTTGATACTCCATTACTATTTTTAAAACGTATAATATGTTATTTAAAATAAGTAAATAATTACTTTTGAATGATATATGTATAAATAAATCTTATATTCATTTTCAGTATATCTAGCATAATCTTTGCTTTCTTTAAAATATTTCGTTCTTCAATTTCTTAAAATATTTTATTTTCTTTGAATGTTTATATCTTTTATAGTTTTATTTTGAAATTTTAAATAATAATTAATATTAATCTATAACGAGTTTAACTAGTTGCTATTATATGCTGCCACATCTAGAAAGCAAAGGCATAGGGAACCCAGTAACGACAGACGCAGACCCAAGGCCTAACAAGGGCAGCCCAAGAGAAAGCACACAGCAACTATGTGCAGTGCATTTGGAATTAGAAGTGAGCCCAACCCAGCCCAACCCAACCCAATCCGCACCCACCCATACAACGTTTTCTTGAAAAACCGAACACACAGCGTTTTGTTAAGCTGAACACTGAAGTGATGATGATAATTACAACAAGGGCTAGCGCTGAACTGACGTGGCAGTGGCATCAAAAACGAATCCTCGAAAACGCAACTCTGCCAACGCGAATTTAATTAATACTATTATCTATAATTATAAATTGTAAAAAGGTTCACTGTGTTTGTTAATTCGATTGTCCTTCGTAACTTGGTCTCCGAACGTCGCTGTCTTCTTTCACGATGAGGAAATGGAATTTCATCCTCTCCCATTTCAAATCAAAGACGAGCCTAACTGCAACCTCTTCGGCTTCTCGAACCAATCCAATTCGCCCCAATAATTTCAGTAACCTCATTCAAATTCATAATCCTATTGCGCCACTCTCCCTTCTCAATTCGTGCCGCTTTGCCTCCACAATCGCTCAAAATTCTTCCGCTTTGAATCCCGTTCAGGATTCCGATGACAAACAGGTACTTCCTTTTTCACGGTTGATATTTTACGATTCCTCATTTTCTTCACTTTTGCATGCCTTTTTGAGTTTCTATGATTTTGATCCACCACTTCAGGATTTCTCTTTCTCCCATCTTTCTGTTTTCAAGAAAAAAAGAAAAATAATTAGAAGTTTATTGGTGTTTAAAAAATAAATAAATGGTAACCAGTGTGCATGCTTCTTCATTTAATAATTAGTTAATTTTAAATAATACTGTTTTAAATTTTTTTAAAAGTAATTATGTTTCCTTTTTTTTCAGTAATTAAATTTTAAAAATCTTTGTTGTCGTCTTGGACTTGGGCCCGGCCTAGACCCATATGCACGAGAAAAGACAACACTACTGTGATGCCAATATATAAGTATAACCATCACTCTAATTCAAACGATTTCTTTTATTTTATCGACGCGTTGTTGAATTAAACCCGAATAGCTGAACGTAGGGAGTGAGAGAGAATAAAAAGCAACGAGCTTCTTCATTGGATGTTGATCATTCTATGGTGCAGTCAATCGTATATGCAAACTTGCGAAATCAAGAGCGGGGTTGAATTTTAGACCTCTTTGAGTTTTTTTTAAATGTGCTGTTAAGCATAATGACCAAATTGACGTTGTAAAGTGGAGTATTAGACAGGAATAGTAGAATAACGAGGGAACAAAAATAGTAATAGAACAATAAAACCAGCATAGAACTGAATGTAAAAGTTTACAGTAATGTGTTGAACAAGAACTAAATTGCAAAAAATAAAATGCAGAAATGTAAATGTGTTCTAGCAACAATGATCATCAATGACGGCGAGCCTCTTGATAGTTGGTGTTCGACTTGATGCAGAATTTCAGTGTGTGTAGTGCAAAAAGTTGTCTCCGAAATATAAAACTTTATAATATTTATAGGCACTTCCTTTCGTGGGCCTTTCCTTCACGATCGTTTCTTCGTGTTTACAGTCTTTTTCTTTTTGTGCCTAGGACCTCGATTTTCAAGTGGTGTTAACTGCTGATAACTTTGATAGTCGCTTCAACCTTTATGGTTTTTTATCATATTTACTCACTTATTGGACTCCATCTTGCATCGGGACTTTAAAATAAATTTCTTGTCCATAAAATAAATTTTTTGTCATTTTATGTTTTGATATTTTGAGGAGATATGACGAAAACTCATGTGAACTTAGAATAATTTTTCCTTATTATCTTATGTTTTTTACTAATTCTGAAGGAAATATGTAAGGAAATATGTGAGCATGTTTCTTTTCTATTTTGAAAAGAGTTTCTAGTTTTTAAAAATAAAATTTAGTACAAATTTATACTACATTTTATTCTTAAAAACTAAAAACTCTTTAAAATAGAAAACAAATATAGTTAAGGGCTTAAAAATCTTCAAAAACTTCTCAAAAGTCCATCTTCTTTTCGACAAAGAATATGTTTCTCACAATCCTTCAAAATTACTCGAAATATAGCCTTTTTGACGAAGGGTGAGGTCTCCTCGTGAACCTCCGAATCTCCTCGAAATGTAGCCTTGTTCAACAAAGAACGAGGCTCTTGTGATAATCTTCATAGGAACGAGTCAAAGAGTGGTCTCCAATCCAATCCCTATTTATTCTCTCCTATCAGTATACAAACCCAAACCCACGTTGACCTTGACGGTGAAAACTGAAAAGTGAGATGCCTCTGAGATGAATTATATTCATCTGAAGAAATGCTAATTTTGACCCTTAATGACCCTAGATGGGATTGAAAGGTCTCTTTTTGTTCCAAGATTTTAAATAGAGTATACAAACCCTAGAAGGTTGATCTCTTGACTGTGTAAATGAAAAATTGTGAATGCTTTAATGACCCAAAATTGGATTGAAAGAAATAGGGTATACAAACCCTGGTTGAGCTTGAATGTGAAAACGGAATAGTGGGATGCCTCTATGAGATGAATTATAAATTTGTCATCTGAAAAAGATGCTAATTTTGATCCTTAACCCTAGAAGGTTGATCTCTTGACTGTGAAAATGAAAATTTGTGAATGCTTTGATGACCCAAAATTGGATTGACAGAAATAGGTATACAAACCCTGGTTGAGCTTGACTGTGAAAACGGAATAGTGGGATGCCTCTATGAGATGAATTATGTATTATTTCATCTGAAAAAGATGCTAATTTTGACCCTTAATGACCCTAAATCGGATTGAAAGATCAATTTTTGTTCCAAGATTTTAAATAGGGTATACAAACCCTAGAAGGTTGATCTCTTGACGGTGAAAATGAAAAATTGTGAATGCTTTGATGACCCAAAATTGGATTGAAAGAAATAGGGTATACAAACCTTGGTTGAGCATGACTGTGAAAACGGAATAGTGGGATGCCTCTATGAGATGAATTATATATTTGTCATACTGAAAAAAGATGCTACTTTTGACACTTAATTGACCCTAAACTGAAATGAAAGATCAATGAAAAAAGTGTGAATGCCTTTATGTGAATTCTTTATTTTTTTATTTGAGAAAAGACTTTTGATCCTTAGTGACCCTAAATCAGTTTGAAATAGAGTATAAAAACCCTAGAAGGTTGATCTTGACTGTGAAAACAGAGTGTGGATGCTTCTACGAGATGGATTCTTTATTCGTATGAAAATAATGCTATTTTTGAACGTCAATGACACTATAAAATAGACTGCTATATAAAATCTTTGTTCCAATATTTTAAATGAGAATGGGATGCCACGATGACCCTAATGGAAATTACTTTGTTAACTCTTTATTTATGATGTAAAACCTCATGTTATGATGGCCCTAAATGCAATCTCGATATATTTCTGAATTTTCATGATGGCCCTATGGTCTGATAAGTTCCTTTTCCAAGATTATAAATGGGGTTTGCCTTGATAATCCCTACAGGAGACTTCAATATAAAGTATGAATTCTTTATTCATGATGTAAAATCTCATTGGTTTGCTGGAGCAATTTCATTATGAATATTTATTGGTAATGTAAATTTAGGATGATATGCATTCTAAATAGAACTGTAATATTAATTTTTATGGTGTTTGGAGCCTTAAATGATCCTTAATCAGGTGCAAGATGATTTTTTTGGTTCAATAATGTAAAATTGATATGGGATTCCTTGATGACCGTAAAGGAAACTGCAATTTGAACTCTTTATTCATGATGTAAAACTTGAATGCTAAGTTTGAGCCTTCATACCATTTATAGCCATGAAGACCCAACTGTAATATAAATTCATTATTCAGAATATGTAATGATATATATGAGCCTTTAATGATCCTAAATGCAATTGCTATGTGCATTCTATATTTGTATTGTAAATTCCAATATGAATTCTATATTCAAAATGTAAATTTAGGATGGTGTGTTAGTGTCATGATGTCCCTAAAATGTAATTGAAATTTGAATTTGAGCCTCATGACCCTAAACTTTTCCAAATTCAAATGCAGTATGAATTTGTTATTCATAATGTAAATTTAGGAGGGTAAAAGTTTGTGCCTTGATAACCCTATATGAAACCTTGGTATGGCTTATTTATCCATATTCCAGAATTGTGATGGTATGATTTGATCCTTTATGATCCTATATGCAATTTCAATATGAAATCTCTATTCATAATAATATTTACGAAAGATTAAGAGTTAAGAGTAATTTCAATTTGGGTGTGAAACATGGCTAAATTTGTTATTAATGATTAAGATATTTATGATTTATTAGGAGTACCATTATATCATTATGGTAACTTCAGTTTGCCCTCCTAAATGAGAAAGCAGTGCATTTTTGAATTATAGAAAACATCATACTTACCTACATGTATGAATGTTTGCATCTACCTACTTATGGCAGGTCATTGATTTTCCTGGAGGAGCCATAACGTACATCCCTGAAATGAGGTTTATATCTGAATCAGCTAAGGAGAGAATACCCTGCTACCGTGTCCTTGATGAGAATGGACAACCAATTTTGGGTCATAACTTTGTGCAGGTTTCACATCCTTGAACTATAATTTCCTTATTATTTTGCTTAGAAAATACGTTGAAATGAAACTGATGTACATCAATCTTATTAGATTAATAAGGAAGTTGCTGTTAAGATGTATACTGACATGGTTACTCTCCGAACTATGGACGCTATCTTCTATGAAGCCCAAAGGCAAGGTAGACTATCTTTTTATGTGACAACAATTGGAGAGGAGGCTATTAATGTTGCTTCAGCTGCAGCTCTTGCTATGGATGATGTTATTTTCCCTCAGGTTACAACCACATGAAAGAAAATAATATTTTTGTACTTCTGTTTTCATTTCATTAGAATGTGGACAGTCTATACAGAAATCTTTCAAAGGTTTCCCGTTTCCCCTAGTTTGAATTCCATTCATTCATATTTATCCCTGCAATTTATCAGTTTTACTATTTAGTTGGTTTGATAAGGCTGGAAATGATCTAACATCAAATCTGGTTGCATCTCAGTATAGGGAACCGGGAGTCCTGTTATGGCGTGGATTCACTCTGCAAGAATTTGCAAACCAGCTTTTTTCCAATAAATATGATAATGGGAAAGGAAGGCAGATGCCAGCTCATTATGGGTCCCACAAGCACAATTACTTTACTGTAGCATCAACTATTGCGTAAGTATCGAAAACTTTGATATACAAGACTTTGATGCCTGTGCATGTATCCATTTGCTTCTATACACCATGATTACGAAAGTTGCAAAATACAAATTTTACCTTGATCATAGTACACAAATTTCCCATGCTGTTGGAGCTGCTTATTCCTTAAAGATGGATGAAAAGGATGCATGTGCTGTAACTTACTTCGGTGATGGTGGCTCAAGTGAGGTAAATTATACAATTGCCATAATAGAAGACACATTATTGAAAAGGAATTTTTCACTAGGATTTAAATAAAGCCTGGATCTTGAACTTAAAACTCTGTTCTTGAAAGTTTTTAAGGGAATTTAGGCTTCACTTTAGCTAAAATCTTTTAGCTCTCAATACTTTTTTTGGGTTTTAGAGTGCTACCTATATTTTTTTAATCTTATTTATGTTTCAGTTATCTCATCCTTGTAAATGGATGCAATAGAATGCTTTTGTTCTCTTCAACAATCATTATCAAGAATCTTCAATAGATTAAGAAAATTGTTTTTACTAGTTATATTTTGCATTTCTAATGCGGTGTGTAATGACAGGGAGATTTCCATGCTGCTTTAAATTTTGCAGCGGTGATGGAGGCCCCGGTTATTTTTATATGCCGGAACAATGGATGGGCCATCAGCACCCCTATTTCAGATCAGTTTCGAAGTAATTTTCCTTTCCTTCTTTTCAATATCTTCTGTTTGGTCAGGTCTTTAGCATTGTCTTGCAATGTTTAACAGCAAATATTTTGGGTTACTTGCTTTTGCATAGGTGATGGTGTTGCCGCAAAAGGACAGGCATATGGAGTCCGTACCATCCGTGTAGATGGCAATGATGCCCTGGCCATTTATAATGCTGTTCAAGCTGCTCGTCAAATGGCAGTTACTGAAGAGAGACCAGTTCTAATAGAAGTAAAGTCATAGTTACACCTTTCCAAACCAAATCTTTGGGCATGTTTAAAGGAAAAAAGTGGTAGTGTGTGGTCTAATATTAAAGCATTTAACCGAATGTTAGATCTGATTTTTTATTAGGCTCTTACATATAGAGTGGGACACCACAGCACATCGGATGACTCTACCAAATATCGTCCTGCAAATGAGATTGAATGGTGGAGAAAGGTGCGTGATCCTGTGGCTAGATTTAGAAAGTGGATGGAAAGAAACGGTTGGTGGAATGATACGGCTGAGTCAGAGCTTATGAACAGTTTGAGACAGCAGGTAAGATATACTCTGAATATCCCTTGGTTGACACTGGTTTCCATAGTTAATCATATGTTGTATTACCCAAAATTAAAATGTTAAAATGGTCATTGACAAGGAAATTCAACTGCTTAACAAAATGGAAAGTCAGTCAATTCATATCATGTTGCTGCCGAATTCCCTTATGCCAGTTTTCTATTCTGTCATCTTGTCTGGAGGAAACATTGGAGAGTAAATAACACCCAAATTTTAATGAAATGTACTGATCTTTGGAATAATGAGATGTGTGGACATTGTTTGTAACCTTGGTCGGTGGGGTATCTGAGCACTTTATTTGTTGAAAATTCTGGCATTTTGCAGTTTTATAACCATATTCATGTATACTCTTCCTGTATATTCGTTGGTTTGATACGGGGGACTCTTGAAACAGTTATTCCTTGAATAAATGCATGTGCCTAAGGCTTGGGGCAAAGGGGATTTGATAATTCTTTGAATTTGATATAGACAACGCATTAAAAACGTTCTTCCTTGACTGATGACTATTTATGACAACTGCAAGATATCTGATTACTTGGTTTTTGTAACTTTAAAATGTATCAAAGATCTTGCGGTTTTATGATCATAATTGTAGTGTATTATTGTTTTTAATTTTGATTTATATGGCCCTTAAAAATATTATTCAATGATTGTTCTAACAAAGATTTTCCTAATACAGCTTCTGCATACAATTCAAGTCGCAGAGAGTGTAGAAAAACCTCCACTTGCAGATGTTTTTAGTGATGTTTATGATGTCCCTCCGTCTAATCTCTCTGAACAAGAGCAATGGCTGAAGGAGACGGTAAAAAGACATCCACAAGAGTACCCAACAAATATTTCTGTGTAGACATTTCAATATGATTATTGAGATTACATATTTTAATAAAAGAAAAATTGCCTTCAAACTTGTTTTCTTCTTCTGTATGAATACTGCATGTGCATACTATTGTCCTGATTTTGCACTTCAATGGGGTATTTGCCGGTCTGAGTGCTTTAGCGGTTCCGTACGTACATAGTCTGTTTAATAACTTGAATAGCAATTTGCTCGGAGATCATCAAATGTTTGACCCATAAAAAGAAGTGGTGGAAGTTTATGCCACCGGTGGAGAGTAAGCCTCCTTTTTGGGAGAATACATAGTTTTGGACAAGGTTATGTTAAACCATGAATAATGAGAGGAGAAGAGAATATTGGATATTGAACATTTGGAAGAATGAATATAATTCATGTATCAAATTATACAAATTTAAGAATATATACAGTGAAACTATCGATTAACTAATCAAATATACTCTTTTCTATCTAACTTTAATATATACACAATATTTAACATTTTTTCTCAAGATGGTGGTAGATGTCACGAATTCCCATCTTAGACATTAAATTTTTGAATTGAACAATAGTTACTAGTTTTGTTAAGATGTTAACTAATTGGTGTTGAGTTTTAACATAAACCAATCGTATTAAATTTGTATTGACTTTCTTTCGAATGAAATGATAGTTTATCTTTACATGTTTAGATCTTTTATGAAACGTAGGATTTGTAAAAAGATGTATGGTAGATTGATTATCACCAAACACCAATGCTGAGTCTATAAAAGCCTCAAAGTCTTTAAGTAAGGCTACCATTCAAGTTATTTTAATTGCAACTGTTGCTAATGATTTATATTCAGCTTCTGTTGAGGATCTAGATATTGTTGCTTTTTAGAATTCCAAGATATTAGGGAAGTGCTAAAGAAAACATATCAACATGTGATTGACCACCTCATGTTGATGTAATTACCCCAATTTGCATTAGCATATCTTTTTAGGCTTAAAGATGTTGTTGAGAAAAATAAACCTTGGCCTAGACTTATCTTAAGATAACGCAGTAGATGGTGTAGAGCATTCAGATGAAGGGCACATGGAGAAGACATATATTGGCTTATTTTATGCACTGCATAAGAAATATTAGAATGAGATATGGCGAGATACATGACCTTCCTATTAATCTTCGATAAATTGACCCATCTTTAATCAGATCTCCTTCTGTAGCAGACAATTTCAAGTTTGGATCTGTTGGCAAGGTAGCAGGCTTGGACCCTATGAAATTAGTATCATTAAGAAGAGTTAAAGTGTATTTCCGCTGAGACAATTGTATGCCTTGTGAAGATTAAGCTATTGCTAAACCTAACAAATACTTCAAATCACCTATAACCCTTAATTTGAATAGTTTCTACAGCTTATCCTTAACTTGTTCAACCAGTGTACAATTAAGATTACCTATAATGATATCATCAACATAAACTAGTAGTAAGATCAAAGTATTACCCAAACTAGTATAAAACAGAGAGTAATCACTTTTGGATTGCACAAAATTGTGATTTGTCAAAGTAACCATTGTTTAGAGGCTTGTTTTAATCCATAAATGGATTTGTGAAGTTTGTATACCAATTTCTCCCCTTGAATTGGATACCCCGATAGTAAGTTCATATAAACTTCTTTAAATAGATCTCCATTAAGAAAGGTATTGTTGATGTCTAATTGAAATAATGACCATTTTTTAATAGCAACTATGCTTAATAAAATTATCACTATGGTGAGTTTTGCAACAAGAGAAAAAGTGTTCAAAAAATCAATTTCTGCTTGTTGTGCATATCTCTTAGCCCTTAATCTTGGCTTATACCTATCTACTTACCTATTTGACTTATATTTTACTTTATAAATCTAACGACACCCAATGTTATGTTTTCTTTCAAGTAAGGGAACCATAGATCAGGTGTTATTATCCTCCATTACTTTGTGTTCCTCAGTCATGGCCCAATGAGAGTATTTAGATGCTTAATGGTAAAAGGTGGGTTTATATTCATGAGAGACTTGAAAAATGAACTCTTTATATGCAAGTCTAAGCTTGGTACAAGAAACAAAATTTGTAATAAGATACAAGTTGAAAGTTATTGAGTATTGATAATTACTAAGATATGATAGAGGTTTAGAAATTATAGAGGAACGTCTAGTGTTTAAAAGGCCAATATTAAATTTTTTTCAAGTATTTCAGTTGTAACACGAGATAAAGAAATATGTGGGCTAGGAAAATCAGAAAGAGGAAAAAGAATAACATTATTTACAAACAACTCAGATAGAGTTCATTATGTAATTCTTTATAAAAAGGAAATGTAGATTCACAAAACTTAATATTCTTACTAATAAAATATTATCTTATCTCCAAATTGTAAAGTTTATAACCTTTATAACCAACTGAATAACTAAGCATTTGAACTACTATGTCACCACCCTTCTTCCATTTCTACTTCTTCTCTCTCCACCCTTATCAGAACTACTTGATAATCATTTTTAACCGCTTCTCAATAGTAATACTCTTCTGTATATGTTTGCATTCTCACTGCTTAACCTTGATAATTTTCACGAACAAACACAAGTGGAGATAAAGCAAAGAGACGATTTGACCCTCCTTTCGTTTCACTCACAAGCCCCTTAAGAATGAGTACTCTGGTACCATTGTTGGTTTGATGAATATAACATTCTGGAGAACAAAAAGTTGTTGACTTCATTAATTCTTAAAAACAACAACCGACAAAGATCACAACTTCAACATAAATAACTACAACTAACTTTGTTAAAAACTAGGACTCAACTCAAACTGAAACAAACATGACAGAAAACACAACCTTTGCATCCTTGAGATACTAATTATGTTTGTGTATTACCATACACAAAAACAAATTCAATATATGTTAACAATCACTATAAAATGATACAACCACGTGTGAATATAGTAAACTTAAGTACTACCAATAATGTGAATAGTAACTAATAATCATTGCATTACAAGACATGCGTAGGATACCAACAGATTTTCTAACGGGTCCAATTTATACTGACAAATTCATCAACAAGTATAGGCCAACCATCAATTTTTTGGTCGATGATAAAATATCACTTATGGTTAATTAAACCAATTGGTATTTTTGATGGGTTTATCGACGAATATAAACATAAAGGCCAGTTATTATAACTAAATTAAGAATGTCATTGGTGCGGTGATTATAATTTTACCGTTAAATTTTTTAAAATAAGAATAAATTTATTGTAATATTACTGACGGATGAACCCGTAAAAAATAATTTAATAATTTTTTAAATAAGTGCTTTAAATTATACAATAATTAATGTTTTATTATTATTTATTTATTTATACAATACTATAATTTAGACAAGTATTTAATTTCATACAATTGTAAACATTTTATATATACAAATTATAAAATAAAATGAGGAAAAGAAACAACTCACGGAAGGGGAGGTCAAAACAACACCTATAATAATAATAATAATTACTCTCCAATGCATTTAAAAACAACACTTTATGCATTATCAAATGAAAGATAAAAGTAAGCCAAATCAAAAATTAAATTGATTAAAATGCTTACCAAAAATTAAATTGACCAAAATGCTTACTAACATATCTAGATCACAAAGGTAGTCTTTATTTTGCAAACAAAGCTTCAGTGGCGACAAATAACAACCAAGAAAGTTGGCAGAAGCACAAGAGAGCCACATATCTGCAGATTACTAGCACTAAATATGAGAGGAGATCATTTTGTCCTCTTGCACTTTTGACATTAAATACAAAAAATTTAAAGAAAAATTTGGAGGGATTGTAGTGTTGCACATGCACTAAGGAACAATATTTGTTTTATTTTTCTTAAAGCTTAGAAATTTCATAAATTGTAGATTGGAATAACTGGGGATGCACTTAACCTTAATGGAACGTGTTTTAAAAATATTTATACAAATATGTTTTTATTAAAAAATAAATTTTTTAAGTTCTTACATACTCTAAGAAATCCTTAATGTACTGGATAAGAGAACTGCTCGGACCTACATATAGAAAAAGGAAACCGAATAATTACTCGGTCAATGTGGACCAATATCTCTTCAAGATTTAAAGGTAAATAACTTAATTAAAAATAATAATTAAAATATTATTTAAATTAAGAAAAGGGTCAAAGTCAAGGCTGACTCAGCAAGTTCATTAGCCCATTACAATGCCTAGGTAGGAAGTATAGGTAGGGATGAACTTTTCATTATTGAATATCATTTATTACTCAAAACTGAATCCTAACTTCAGCATCGGAGTGCCTTTTGCAGGTATCCTTCCTACGTCAGCGAATACCAGAGAGACGTCATTACAGCAGATTAGAGACTTGAAGATGAGTGTTACCTTTGCACGAACACTTAACATTTGCAAAAGTCTCTTCAAGAAATAAGAAATGTAATCTTTATAAGGTGTAAAGTATATTATCTCAAAATAATTTAGGTTTATCTTTAGTTAGTTACGCCAAGGAATTTAAATAATAATTAAATATGTGCTAATATTCGTAGATGCTTAAGTGTACGTCTCCTGGAACGTATGTGCTTACAGAGGACGAAAATCAGGTAGTTACATTCTTTGCACTTCTCTTTTGAAAACTAATCTTAACCAAAGATTATACATTATAATGTGTATCATATTGTGTAAAATTAGTTTTAGATGATAAACAAATGGATCCTTATTTACATTTTTGGATGAAGTTTTATTAATCGACTAATTTATACTATTTTATTGGTTGGGCCTAATTTACTTTAGTTGGGTTTTATTTTTAGTAAAAGCCTTCTCTCTGTCAAAATATATAAATAAAAAATTATGAAGGATATATGAAACATATTTAAAAAGATATAATAATCTATGCTATGCTGCAATAAATTCATTTTCATAAAAATATTTTCATAATTAATATCAATATTCACAAACATAAGAAACGACATGTTTTCGATTTTTTTGTTGTACATGAAAGATGAAGTTTGTTTGTAAAGTCGACATTCAAATTTCACAGGTCTTTTTATCATTTACTTTTGTTTTTAAAAAAGGGTAAGATAAATATTTAAGGTTATTAAATTTAAATTGTCTAAGAGCAAAAATGTAAGAGGATGCGGTGATGAATTTTTTAAATTGCCATTTATATTAGTCATTTTGAGTTCATTCTATTTTGCCCTTACCACAACGTTTTAAATGAATAACTATCAATAATTGAAATCTTTTAAGCTCACACGATACCATTTTAACTATAAACAAAAAAATCTAACAAAATCTATGTGTGTGTATATATATATATATATATATATATATTGAACAATATGGGTTGCAGAAATTCATCAACAAACTTTCATCTCCATTCTCCACTAATTAATCACTCACATAATATCAAAGCTTGAACTTTCTTAAAATAGAGACCCTTCCCTTCTGCACAACATAAGCCGTAGAATTCAACTAGAGATTCCACTTGGAGAGGACAACCACCCAAACAAAAACCGAACCCCCACTTCTTTTCTCTCTGCCTCCCTCCCATATACTAATTTTCCACTAATTAATCAAAACATAATTATCCTCCTTCTTACATTATTTTTCTTCTTCTTCTTCTTCTTTTGTCTATCTTCATATTTGTTTCTCATTTTCAGCGAATTTATCCATCTAGGAACAAGACTTAAATCACATTCTTTTCCCTTCCACTTTTGCATATAAACATCATTAACCAACGGATTTTGAACGTGGTACATGCTGCTTGTACCTCGGTAAAAGCAAAGAAACGCATATTTGACACATGAAAAGGTCCTTTATTAGGATTGCACATAAGAGTTGTTGGTAAATAGATAAAAATGGGAAATGCAAACAACGACACGGATGAGTACATAGTTTGCTATGCACCTACCATGATAACAACAAATGGGATATGGCAAGGAGATAACCCTTTGGATTATTCTCTCCCACTTTTCATATTGCAATTAACATTAGTTGTGGCAGCCACCCGAATATTTGTCTTCATTCTCAAGCCCTTTCGCCAGCCACGTGTAATTGCTGAAATATTGGTTAGTTTATATCATAAATTTCATTACATATAAGTCAAATGATGTAAACTTCACCACATTTGCTGATAGATATATTTATTTATAGGGTGGAGTAATGTTGGGTCCTTCAGTGCTTGGGCAAAACAAAGCATTTGCTGATGCAATATTTCCTCTAAGAAGTGTGATGGTGATTGAAACAATGGCCAATGTTGGTCTCCTTTATTTTCTCTTCTTGGTGGGAGTGGAAATGGACATAACGGTGTTAAGAAGAGTAGGTAAAAAAGCAGTGGTTTCGGCAATTGCTGGCATGGTTTTGCCTTTCCTTATTGGATGTACTTTCGTTTTCTTTTCGACCAAAGAAACTATTGAGATTAACAGAGGAACTTTTGTACTATTCATTGGCGTTGCACTCTCTGTCACTGCATTTCCTGTTCTTGCTAGGGTCCTTGCTGAGCTTAAACTGATCAACACTGAGTTGGGTAGGCTTGCTCTTTCAGCTGCCCTCATCAATGATGTGTGTGCTTGGGTTCTCTTAGCATTAGCCGTTGCTTTATCTGAGAATAAATCAACTACCTTTGCTTCTCTATGGGTTCTATTGTCAAGTGCAGCATTTGTGGCCTTCTGTGCTTATGTTGTTAGACCAGCAGCTTCATGGGTAGTTAATAGAACCCCTGAAGGAGAATCCTTCAGTGAGTTCTATATATCTCTTATACTAGCTTCTGTCATGGTCTCAGGTTTCATCACTGATGCTATTGGAACTCATTCTGTTTTTGGAGCTTTTGTGTTTGGTTTGGCAATCCCAAATGGACCACTAAGCTTTACACTTGTGGAAAAGCTTGAAGACTTCGTTTCTGGACTTTTACTGCCTCTCTTTTTTGCCATTAGTGGGCTAAAAACTAATGTACGACTCATCCAAGGGACATACACTTGGGCACTTCTTTTTCTTCTCATTTTCCTGGCTTGCATTGGCAAAGTTATCGGAACTTTATTGGTTGCTTTCTTTTATCAAATGCCAATACATGAAGGAGCTGCCCTTGGCTTACTTATGAACACAAAAGGCCTCGTTGAAATGGTCGTGCTTAATGTTGGGATGGACCAGAAGGTACTAATACTAGGACGAGTAATGTTATATTCTTTTATTAATCCGCTTAACACTATAAAAAAATATTAAATGAAAAAGTAATATCTTGAAAATATAATATTTGGTACTTTATCTAATAAATAGGAGAATTAACAAGAAAAGGTTATTCTCCCTAGTTTGTATCATATCTTATGTGAAAAGTTACGTACACGTAAAGAAATTATCAATTGATGTATACTTTTTATATTTTGACTAAAATATTCTTATTTATAGGTGAAAACGAAAGTGATAAATGGGAGATATAATTATGATAGTTAGTTAAAGTAATTATTGTAGTTGGAAAGCATTAATTAATCTTGAATTTCTAAAACAACGAAAGTTTTGAAATATAAGTAAAAAGAAAAATGCAAAATCAGCAAAATATATGGAACAATGGGAGTATATGAGGAGAATTAAGCTTGTAGATCCCCTAATTCTTCATCTACACATGTTGACCATTTACAACTGCGTGCAGGCTTTTGATGAAAAATTATTTGCAGTCATGGTTGTTATAACTCTAGTAATGACTTCAATCGTTGTGCCTGCCATATCAATTATTTATAGGCCATCAAGGAATAACATATGTTACAAAAGAAGAACAATTGAGATGTCAAAATCGGAAGTTGAGTTCAGAGTCCTAGTATGTGTCCACACCCCTAGAAACGTCCCAACTATGATCAATCTCCTTGAAGCATCTAATCCAACTAAGAAGTCCCCAATATGTGTCTATGTGCTCCATTTGGTGGAACTTAGTGGCCGTACATCTGCCATGCTCATTGTCCACAACGCTTCAAAACCTGAACACCCACCACTTAATAGAACTGAAGCACAATCTGATCACATAATGAAAGCCTTTGAAAACTATGAGCAACATGCTTCAGATATCTCGGTGCAACCCTTAACAGCTATCTCCCCTTATTCCACCATGCATGAAGACATATGCAATTTGGCAGAAGAGAAACGCGTGTCTCTAATAATTGTACCTTTTCATAAACAACAAACAGTTGATGGTGGAATGGAAGCTACCAACATGGCATTTAGAACCATTAACCAAAATGTACTAGCACATGCACCTTGTTCTGTGGGAATTCTAGTGGATAGAGGCTTTAGTGGCTCTAACCGTTTGGATGCAAATCAAGCGTGTCATCATATAGCAATATTATTTTTTGGAGGACCAGATGATAGAGAAGCATTATGCTATGGATGGAGAATGCTGGAACATTCAGGCATTAGCCTTACTATAATGCGTTTTGTTCCAGGTGATCAATTATCTGAGCCATTGAAGCAACATGTTGACTTCGTTTCCGATGAACCAAGAGTGTTGACAGTGCAAACAGATAAAGATATAGATAAACAACTTGATGAAAAGCTTATATGTGAGTTTAGAATGATATGTTGTGATTATGATTCTGTTGATTACATTGAAAAAGTGGTTAATAACGGTGAAGATACAGTGGCAGCAATAAGGACAATGGATGATATTCATGACCTTTTCATTGTTGGGAGAGGTCAAGGTATGATATCACCACTCACTGCAGGACTCACTGATTGGAGTGAGTGCCCAGAAATTGGAGCAATTGGGGATCTATTAGCATCTTCAGATTTTGCAGCAACTGCTTCAGTTTTGGTGGTGCAACAATATGTGGGGTCACAATGTGAAGAGATAGTAACACCAAATGGTGAAGAACATATCACTGAGATTACTCGTCGTCCTCTAACACCACAAGGACATAAGGTGACCATTTCAGACCACTAGCCAGTTTTAAATCCACTCCCTTCATGTTGTGTCATAACAAAGTACAGAAAAATTCTTTTTTTTTTCTCTCTCTCTGTATTATGTCTTGTGGTGTAGGTTTTTTTTTTGTTTTTTTGGCTTGTACACTCGAGTCTTTATATGTACATACAGTTACATGTAATTATATTAGCACAATTTTTCTTTTATATTAATAACTCTGTCCAATAGTCAGTATAAGTGAATTTGACAAGAATATGTTTCTGATTTGGTATTTCGTATTTGTTCTTGCTCTTTGCTAGCATGAATGAGAACAACAACTAAGAGCTGGCAAATACAAAGGTATAAGAAAATGATCCAGTTACCATTTTACATCATTCAGTCTTGCATGGGTCATGTAAATATTTTAGTTTGCCTAATTTAATTTATTTATATCTATATTTAGATAAATATATAAATGTTGAAGCATTACATGTGTGGATATGTTGGTTTTTACATTTTTTCACATTACTAACTAAAATTATTTACTTTAAAGTTCTTCTTCTTTACTTTTTGAACTCCTCTCACTTTCACCTTGTAGCATGCCAACGGTATTATCAATTTGTGATGATAATTACTTGTTCTTAATTCTTTTCTTAACTCTGATGAGATTTTATCATGTTAATTTTATTATCATTTTTTAAGTTAAAGGTGAAAGACCACGAGGCATTCCCATACTCAAAAGTTCCAAAACTTATTTTCACTCAGTGATTTGTGGCTGTCTTTGCCTCAAGATAATTTTGTACATTGCGAGGTTCAAATACAGGATTTTCTATTAAATATATTAACCACATATGTGTAAAGCCTTAATGCACGCCAATATTATTAATAATTTATGATAATCATCATTTTCTCTTTAAATTTAACTTTTTTTTCTCATTCTTTGATATTAATATAACCTAAGTTTTACTATCCTAGCACTTTTTAAATTATTTTCATAATAAAATTCGTTTTTGTGTTTTTTTTTTTTTTTGCTACATACATTTAAAAAAAAAGATAAATTTATTCTTTAAAAAATAATGTTTAAATAAATTATTAGTCTCTCTACTACATATTTTTAAAGAAGAGATTTGTATTTGTTAGAGTCTTTTACGTTACTGTTGCATAATTTAATTTACAATTGTGCTATTTTGATTATGTATTTTGATGAAATAAAAATATATAATTTTATTATATATATTTAAGATGTTAAACTATTTTTTATAATTTATTTAGATATAATTCGTATGATCTTTATAAAGATATACATATTTAGATGATTTAATAGCTTATTTATAAAAAAAATTAATCTTATTAAAAGTTACAATACGAAGTAGGTCATTAAAAATGTTAATAAATTAGGAAGACTTTTAAAAAAGTCAAAATAGACTTAATAAAAAAGTCTATAATAAATAATAGGCTAAAAAGGCTTTTAAAAAATTTAAAATAAACTTAAATAAAAAAAAATGTATATCAGATAATAAATCAAATTTAAACTTCAAAATTATTAAATAGGTCAGAATGTATAAAGTCTAACCTAACTTCCTATTTCTATCTCTAATTACTATCCTAATTAAGCACTCAAAAACTACTTCATAACAGGTACACTTTTTACTAACTTAATTATTTGCCTATAATTATTGTAAAAATATACTATAATCTTATATTTGACGTGAGATTGATCCATGATTATAAATTATATATTTTAATTAATCTTATATTCTCACTGTGATTTAAATCAATTGATTTGAGGCAATTTAATTAGTACCTCTAGATCACTAGTAAGTTCTTTTTTATATTAAGCTCAATTTATGCTATGTAATTCAATAAGTAATTTTCATACCAAGGTTGTACATCACCCGTGTCATGCATAAAATAACTAACTACTCTCACATTTGATGAGGTATGTGATTTATTTCTTGCTATTACTTTATTAGTTCAAACATTGATTTGAGTTTGAAGTTGTTTAATAGGTACACCACTTCTCTACGTCATCGTCAACCTCATGTACTAATTTTATAACTGCTGCAACATTTCTCTAAACCTTATTGATCCAATCTTCGTTAAGCTCACTAAAAATATGCTAGATTACTAATGGTTATATTATAATACCATTAAGAGATTTGGTTATTTGTTAATGACAATGAGGTGGTAATAAAAAATATATAATTGGTCAAAAATACATCTTTGAGTACCTTTATGGATCATTCTAGGATTAGAGTTCACACGAACAAAGAAAACGAATTTAATAATATTGATATGCTTTTTAATTTTTTTATAAGGCGCTTTTTAGAAATTAGGTTTTAATGGGCCTTTCTACAAAACACTTGATAGTCTTTCTGAAGTATTTATTATGTTTTTTTTTATTTACCCTTAATAAATAGAGTTGGTAAAAATTTAAATTTAAATTAACAAAGAAAAATATTGATAGTGGATTTAGAATTAAAGGTATTAAATGAAAGTAAAATTTTATAAATTGATTGTATAAATAAAATACCTATTACTGGAAATTGTATTTACAATTCTTTTTAGTAAAATTTGTACAACAAAGAGATAGAAAAAGAAGATAAAGAAGTGTATTCTAAGATGATAGATACGACGGTAAGAGATACAGGTGAAAAAGTAATATAGAAAAAAAATGTTATATAAATAATATAACTTGAAAAAAATATTATTATTATTATTCGAAGAGAGATTAAATTATATTAATTTTATACTATTTAATAATTTTATTTTAAAATTAACTACGAGATTTAATATTTTTATATAAACTTGCGTGTATATGTTTAAAAATATAATTTTTATTTTCAGATTATATTAAGTATAAATTTAGACTATATAATTATACATTAATATACAAAATTTATATAAACTTCTTTAAATATTTGAATAAACCTAATAATTTATATTCATAATAAGTAAAACATCCCTCTAAACTTAATTTAGTTATACAAATCATAGGGAAATGGAAGAGAGAGTTTGGGATTAATGAAAGCATTAAGAATAAATTTGGGGATGGATACACGTAGCGGCATGATTTCTCTGCCATCCCTACACATTTGTTTATAATTACAGTTCAAAAACCACCAACAAGTGGACCCTTCACGCGTGACCCTCACACCCAAAATATTGCAAACATGTAATCATTCACTTTCTTGAAAACTCCTACCATATATCATATCCAAACCTTCATAATGTCATTGTTGAATTGTTCAAAATTACTTATATTTAAGCAATTTCACCATGAAATGTTATAAACCAGGCTCAATGTCAATTTTGGCCCATGAAATGTTGGACTACTTGTGTGGTATCTTCTTCTTCTTCTTCTTTTTCGTTTTCAATTTGTCATGTAAGGTTATTTTATACGATTTTAAAAAATTAATTAATATTTCCAGTTATTCAAGCATTCAAGTTATGTACGAATGTTGTCACTATCACGATATTCAATTGTTTAATTTGACTCTCCAAAGTGATAATTAAACATGTGTTCCATCCAATCCTTCCTTCACTCGGCTTGTAAATCTAGAAACTCTTGAAGACTGGAACACTTAAGTTGAAAATTGGTAGATATGAGGAGAGGGTGCTTATTATAAGAAAAATAACTCTTTGACACTCAAATTTAAGATGGAAATAGATAGAACAAAAATAAGAAATATAAATATGACATATAATATAATAAAAAATTGTAAAAGTTATGTGTGTAAAAATACAAGAATTGTCATTATAAAACGCAAATAGCCATTATCATTCAAGTCCCGTCACTTGATCGAACATTAGAGACGAGTTAAATTTTAAAACCATAGTATACTTCATTTCATTAGGCCTTTTGGGCTATTTACTTTTTAATAAATAAAGAATATTTTATACTAATATTTGTGAAATAACTATTGGTGGTATTTTTATAAGACAAATGTTAACCAATACTCGAACATTGCTTAAAGAATTAAAAATAAAAAATTACTAATATAATTTTTAAGGATTTTAATATATTTTAACATAAATTTTCCGTAATTTATTCTTTAAATACTGCTTTTAAGATTTTTATTAGTAAAACCCTACTCTTGTTCGTGTGTGTGTGCGCCGCCATAGAATAATAATAGTTTCACATTTTGATTGGGATAGTTTTGAATATACACACTTGAAATGAAGAAAGAATTTAGTTACGTAAAAAGAACTAAAAACTTTTAATTAATTAAAATAAATTTAATTTGATGTTCCAAGACGGACAAAATAGGGTTCAAAGGGTAAAATTTCTTTACAAAGTTTCATTGGTGGCCATCTTTTTGTCAATTTGTTGTTTGGTCTCTTTCTCTATTCCCATTTCTCTTTGTTGCCGAACTTACCTGTTTTCAAGGGAACATTTATTTTAAGTTGGTTTGCCATCGCCTACTCACATGATAGAGATGCTAAGTGCAAATATTTTAACAGTTACATATAGAGGTTAATAATAATGATAATATAAACAAAACACAACGTTACCATCCCAAGTAAAATAAGAATCTATTTGAACAAACTTCTTAATAAATGTTATAAACATTATCATAGTAGTTTTAATAACCCAATAGAAAGCGTGTTTGGGACTCTTATTGAGAGGTAGCATGGCATGGATCATATAAAGAGAGTAGTTTATGGATGCTGAGAATTTGTGGTGTAGAATATTGACAAAATGGCAATGGTGGAGGAAAAGTTTGGTTAGTCAAAAAAAATCGAAACACGCACAAGTCAGAGCAAATGCTTAGGAAGATAGAGTGATGAAATGATGAATACGTTGGTTTCAAGATTCCTTCTGATGCATGCACATGGTTTTTCTCTCTCAAATTCATATGTTCAAATTATGGTATCTTCTACTGTGTCTACAAAGCTGAAAATTCAGATGCCCCTATTTTTGGTAACCTTGGTTTATATCGAGTTAATAGAAAGCGCTAAGAATATAATTATATTTAAATGTGGTTTTAATTTATGAGGTTTTATGCTAAACAAATAATATTTATATTTATTTTAATTTT